ACCCCATTGATGAGCATGAACACGAGCAGCAAAGATAGAAATCGGTGGTCCATTGTATTGACATGAAAAAGAAGTTCGAATAGCTAAAACGAGATGAAAGATACATTTTACGAATTTCATTTAACGTTACATTATATAAATAAAGAACGAATCACTTTCTTCATTTTACTTACTTTGTGTTTTTGGTTTCAGATAAATCTCATTGGTACCACTTAACATGACACCTGCATGATATTTACATCTAGAATACAACATCATTTTATGAAAAAAAAAAGTGAATATTTTATTGGAACCAATTTGATCTTACGGTTTTCGAGTCATAATTAATTGATTTCCAGAATTATCATTTTTCAAAATTGCAAAATAATGAATATTAACAACAATATATTTATATGGAGTATTACGTCCGACAGCGATACCGACATCTAAATTGTACAATATAAACTGTCTCTCGTTTTAATTATGTTAATAAAATCAAGTATACCTTTCGGTAATGTCATTGGAGGTGCATTTCGACCCCATCCATGAATAATCATTTGTTCACTATTGCATGGCCCACCTCCAGTCCTACATAAAATAAATCAATCTCAAAAGGCATCATAGGAAAAAATAACAACAGAAACAAACCAGAATGGTTTATCAGAACCTGGTTGTGAACAAGCATATGTAAGCATATGATGAGCTGAATTCATATTGATCAATGGTGAATATCCAACTGAATTGAAAATTATTCATCACTCTATAACTAATAAAAAAAAAAATTATTAACATACCAATGAATAATTCTTCATCGGGTAATCTATATTGACGAAATGCATATTCATCTTCCTAGGAAAAAAAAACGATGTAAACATTTACAGATGAAAACAAAAAAACAATTTTTTTTATGAGTAGATGTAAACCTGTTTTGTTTCATAATTATTCATAGTAATATTAATAGTAAAGAGATCGTCTTCATTTGGAGTACCGGCCGAATAATCGCAATTGATAAAAGGAACAAGAACAATAAAAATACTAAGGACAATGGTTATTTCAATATGAATACTGTTCATTTTTTTTCAATTGTTTTTGTTTGTTTAGTAGAAACAGAGCTTAAAACCATCAATAGATGCTATTAATTTAAGTAAGTTTTTCTTTATTTTTTTTTTACACTTACGTGCAGTTTTGTTTTCAGTCACAATATGAAGAGAAACAAGTTGAATACAGAACGGAAAAAAATTATGTTATATCTGAAATTAATCAAAATAAATGGTGACTATTGATGTCAGGTGAATAAAAAAGAAAGAAAAAAAATCATCGGTGTACATAAATAACTATCTTACTAAAATCATTTATCATTAATCAAATAAGCAAAACTAGAAAGAAGTAGATTTTGTACAAAATCATTTTTTTTCTTTGATGATTGCATTACTGTTGAATTTGATTGAATTAAAGAGGACGAAGTAGATTGATCACACATTTGTCGTAATAATGAAGGATCAGATTCTGAATTGGTTGCTGTAGAAGTTTTTGTTTTGGATGAAGTTTGTGATTGTTGTTCGGGTGTAGATTGTTGTTGAGTAATAATGCGTGTCCAAGCTTGATGATTATTAGTAGACAAAGTAGATGGATCAGTTAAAAGAGCTGATGAATAAAGTGAATCGAAAAAATCACTTTCAACAGATGGGACAACATTAGATGTAGGTATTGATTGTTGCTGGGGATTATTAGATTGCTGATAGTGATAAGAACGTCCGGCTGCACGAAGACGTTCACGTTCATATTGTTGACGAGTAAGTGTTTGAATATTAATTGTATTTGGTGAAGATGTTAATGAACTATTAGTATTGCTCATATTATTATTAACTGCTGCTAATCGTCGTACATTTGATAATTGTGTTAATAAATTAGTAATTGGATCATTTCCATTAGCAGATGTAGGTAATCCTGATGATGTATCAATTAGAATATGTTGACTTACAGGTTCATTACCTCTTCCTAATGCACCTCGTCGAATAGTTGTTCTTAATGATCCACGTCGAAAACCAGCACGAATTCCAGAATCAATACCAAAATTATAATCTCTAGTCGATGATGATTGTCTTGAATAAGTATGTGTTTCTCCCCCAGCTGATGATGGTGTGTTTCCTTGTGGATCCTGATGATCATTAGTTATATGTGATATAAGATCTGCAGTAACTAAATTTGGTTCACCATTAACCATAGCAGCACATATTGGACAAATAACTTCATATAATTGTTGAGTTTTACCATGTTTTATTTGAAGATGTTGAAATAAATCAATATTTTCTATATGATGATCATTCGATGAAGATGATTCATTAAGAAATGGTAATGTTAAACCCATCTCACCACAAAATGGACAAGTTAATGATTGAGGATACTCTGATGTACATCGTTCACCCTGATAATATAAATCAAAATCTTGACGTGTTAAAATACCTTAAATAAAATAATAATGTATTATTAAAATATTTTATAGTTGAACAAAAATAATTTACATTGCATAGGATGTTCTCTTGTATGATGACTGGATGTTTCACCTTGTTCGTAGCATGTGGAACACAAATCATAATCATAGCAAATTAGACATTTGAATTGTTTCGAACGAAAATTACTTTTACCACATGCGTCACAACTGACACCTTCATGGGCTGACATAATCAAAACAAAAACTAATGTAAAAGGAACGTTGTGCTGTCATGCATCAGCAGATTGCATATTAAATGAGAGAAAGCTACCATAATGCTTGAAGAACATCAACCAATCAGAAAATACCTCTTTGACGATGACATGTTGGTCTAGTCTATCCAGCAAAAACAACCATGATAAAATTACAAGATTGCAAACAAGCAGTCTTGTATATACTATTATTAAATCATAAGTTACAAAAAGCCAATAAGATCTTTGTTTTTGTTTAAAAAACGATTGATAAATCTCAAAAACAAAAATCATATGACCAATTGTAACTTTTGCAAGCCATCTATTTTTGGTTTTATGGAAAATTGCGTTTCTTTTTCCCATTGAAGTATTATATGAAGAATCATATTCGTAATATTGATAGGTTTTCTCGAAAAGTATTAAATCCTTATAAGACGTTTGAAAGAAGATCTTGTCAGATTCTAAACTCATGGATATAAAGATTTGAAAAATATTTGTAAGTTAATAGTTTGTTAGACAATATGAGCTCAGCACAAGTAATATTAGATGTCACTCTTGTACTATCAAGAGAAACGATCTAACAACTGCATTTAAGTCTTAATTTCAAAAAATTACTCTTACAAAAGAAATGATAGAGCAGTAAGACAAATTGTATTATAACTATGTCTAAGTACAGGTAAAGGAAGTAACTCTTACTTATATTATAAAATGGTCATTATTAAGTTCTAAAAACCATAAAATAGAAGACTTTAATACATGACTATAGTTCAGCGGCGGATCTAGGATTTTTTTGATATGGGGCGATTTTGACCAAAAATCGGGTTTTGAAGTTCATTAGTAGTAGTATGCACTCTATTTTTAAGTCTTTTCTGCTGGGAAAAATCGAAAATTTTTTTTTCGAATGGGGGCGATCGCCCCAAGCGCCCCCCCTAAATCCGCCACTGCTATAGTTATAAAATTTAAATAGTATCCGTTTCATATTACAGTTTCTTATATTAATTTACTCCGCTGAGACATCGAATTTCTTCTATACCTATATGATGTTCTTCAGCTGAAATAATTAAATGCTTATGAAATGCGAGCTTGAGTAGTTGAAGCAGATTGGATGTTTAACTTATTTGATGAAACCAAGGGATGATATTGAATTTGAGCACTAAATTAATTCTATACCAGATAAGCAGTCAAATATATGACTTTTGAGTTTGTAATTAAAAAACGCAAATGAGAATGATAGAAAAACTTATCGGTTATGTCATTCTTGATAAATGAACTACGTAAATGTGTTTGATAAATCTGTCACAAATCATGTATTTATCCTAATCATATAGATGAATCATGGCTTTTCCCTTTACCATTGCACACTAGGCACTGAGACAACAAAATACTTCGTCTTATCATGTGATTTATTTTTCACGTGATGAAAATCGTACGAAATATGACCATGACGATATGGTATGTTATAATTATTCCTAAAAATGTGAAATTTTTTTGTCGTCTACCTTTATTGGGTCTCACCATCAACTTAGCAATGTTCTTATTCTTTTACTATTTCAAAAACACTTCTTTTCCTTTTGAAACGATCAGTAAATCTTATTTCATAAAAATACCTATGAATAAGCATAGCAGCAACGTCATATTTTTTTAGTATGAAGAATATGATTTGTCTTCTATGATTCACTATGGTTATGTAATAATAGCATTTGAGTCTTTGAAAACGTATGATGTTTCTGAGAATTCATCAATGAAAAATTATTATGAATCGTATTAGTTGAAACCAAATGAATTCTTATTTTCAATGGAATTTGTTTTCGTATAAATAGATTAATGTTCAAAGAGTATCAAAATGAAAAAGCTCATACTTTTTGCTTATTTATTAAAGTAATGAATATCCAACTCTTTATTACAGTAGACTTATATGATTCAATAAATGATTTGATCCTCATTTTGTTCAGATTTCACAAGAATTCTTATGATTTAAAAATTATATTGAATATTTGAATAATCAATACAAACACGAAAATTTTCCATTGCTTAATAACGTTAGCTAAACAAATTTTGTCTATTTAACATATAAAATATATGGAATGCAGTATAAGACAAACAGTTGAGTTTTATTTCAAGTTATAGAATATATATGCTAACGTAAACATGACGACTTATATCATAAAAGAAAAGAAAATGAAATAAGCTGAAGTTCAGAAAAATCAATGTCCTTGTATATATGGATAAGATGATTTTGAATTTGAAATTCATCTGCCACCTCCAAAGAGCTCACGAAGATTTGGAGTGCGTTTACATCTAAACTTTGAACTATTCATAATAATAGAGAAGGAAAATATTCAAATGTACCCTTTGATAAATTCTTCTTTGGTTAATTTTTTGTCTTCATCAATACCAAGTGTATTGAATATACTAGCTGCTAACTTTTTCGGATCAAGATGATCTTTTTGATCAGTTCTACCTACGATAGTTAACTAAAAATAAAACAGAATTAATGCATATTTTAATAAAAAAAACGAAGTTTGAAGAACAAAAAAATTAAAAAAAAAAATCATACTGAAGCCGAGAGAAAAGCAGCTAATTCATTGACATCTACTCTTCCGTCACCTGAAACATCACACCTAAATAGTGATAAGAATTCTTTTTGATTAAGAGAAAATGTTATGAAATATTCTCACATTTCGAAAACATAATCAAGATGACTATCTATATCATGTGGTGCACTCACTGCAACAGCCAATAAGAATTCATTAAAATCAATTGTACCATCATGATTTTTATCAAAAATAGCAAATACATGACTTTTATAAGCAAAAGAAAAAAAAAATTCAAAATCTTGTGTAAAAAGTTACATTGACATACTCGCACAAGACACTTGTTTTATCTTTGTCATCTTTTATTTCTTCGTAATATTTCACAAATCCTGCTTTGTCTAATCTACCTGTTGGAAAATCATTCCAAAAAGCCTAAAAAAACAATATTGAAAAAATAGAAAATGTGAAAGAACTTAGAATCTAATAATAATATATAACACTTACACAGTGCAAATCTCTAATTTCTGAAAGAAAAAAACAAACAAAAATGAATGATATGATTTGTTGATAATATTTTCTTACCGTCTTCGCTAAGTCTCGATCTTTTTTTTAGTATAGCAATATCTAAATATAATTCTTTTTGTTTTTATTAAATTAATATGTAAACAAGACTAGAGGAAACCTCGTGAAGTTAATTCTTTAGATGTTCCACCTTCGAGAGGGACGCTGTTTCCCATGAGGAATGTTTTTCTTGATTGATATTAAACGAAGTAAAAAGAAACCTGAAAATAAAATAATAGACATGTGAATAGAAAACTATTCTATATTCACAAGAGTAATACAAAAGAATAAAATACAAATCTGATTGATTGAAGACGAAATTCTTCTATCGTGTGCATCAAAACACACAACAGTTTGATAGATTGTTTCAATATTTTTCTCTTATGTTCAATCGCACATTAGTAATAAGAAAAAATAGATCGATTGTAAGTTAAAACTGAACAAACACAAAAAAAAAGAGTAATAGCACAGGAAAATGTATTGATCAGAGTAGAGACTAAAGAACTCATCGGTTTTCATATAAGCGTTGTTTAAGTAACGCAACTAGATAACAAAGACTCATGTACAAGTTTCTCTTCGTTGTTTTTTATGAAAGCAGTAATGGTATGACGAACGGAATTACGGCTCTGTCATTTCAATTTATATGTCTTTCCATTATTTTTTTTGCTTTTGCATCAGCTCTTCTTTCTTTGCCTTGATTTTTTCTTTTTCTTCGACTTATTTCTGAGTTCATAAATGACTTCCAAACTTTTATTATTACTCCTGGTAACAGTAGAAATCCAGTCATGTCAAAACTGAAAGCTAAATTAAATTATTGAAGAACCTTTTATATGTTGCTTTATTTACTCCCTGGATATCTTTTTGAAGCCTTTTGCAGTGCGAGAGTTGCTTTGCGTGTGTGTGTGTGTTTTGATGAATATTTGAACTTCCAATATTCATTTATTGAACTGAACTTTTAAGTTTGACATTGATAAAATAATACAAATATAGTAGTTCTTACAAATTTTATTTTCTAATATTTATTCATAAGAATTACAATTTTAAAGTGCAATATGACATATAAGAACAGTAAAATGTAAAATCATATTCGATTTGTAATTCATATTAAAAAGAAATACTTTTACAATAAAGAATCTCGTTTTAAAAGATCCTGACAAAAATCACGAGCTTTTTTGACCAGTATTACTTCAATATTCTCAATTCGATCAAGTTGTTCTAAGAAAAAATTGATAAGATTTTTCAAATGCAATCCACTCTTATCTAAATTCATGGTCGATGATAAATCTGGATTGACAATAGATTGAGGAGGATTGTAATTGTATTCCATTTTACCATTTAATACATAAGCAAGTCTGACAAGTTCATGTAGAGTAATATTAGAAAGAAAATAGAATTTGTATGCATCACAACGTCGTCTAGCAGACGATGTCGATTCTAATTGATATAGAATAGAAGCTATTAATTCACGGATAAGACCATCTCGATTATCATATGGTAATGTAAGAATATATTCGAGATGTTGACGAATTAAATCTTGTCGATCAACCAAAATACATTTAGTTAAATCAGTAATTCGAGAACCAAGAAAATATTTATCGAATTGAGATAGTTGAGCTAAAATTGATTAAAAGAAACAAAATTTTCATAATGAACTATTTGCTTTTGAAATATTTTCTTACTGTAAAGATAAAGTTCAGTAAGAAGAAGTTGTGGTCCATGATAAAGAGCAAGTTTTCGTCGATCTGCAAGCCAAATTGTATGTTTTATAACTAATGATTCTTCTGTTTTCTTAAATAGTTGTATAAGATGGTTGGTAAATTCATCGATATCAAGTTGATCTTCTAGTATGAGCAATTCAATGTCAATATCGGATGCTGGTGAACCTTCTCCTCTTCCAAATGATCCGATTAAAATTGCACCTTGAATACGTTTGGTATCTCTACGGAAAAATTCAGCCAAAATTTCGATAATTTTTTCTTGTCGTTCCATTTAGAAATTTTTTTTATCATTTACTCCCAAGTTTCTGAGACACTTGCTATCAAATATTCTTGATTTGCTGCTTAACTTGTGTTTTAATGCAAAGCAACTATTTCACACGACGTTCAATTAAGAATTTAATCTTTGTAAATTCTAGAGAAATCTAAAAGAAGAACTATGACGTACGTTTTTGTCGAATTGAAGAATTAAATTAAAAATAAAATCATATTTACGTTTCACCAAAATGAAACTTTATAAGATAAGATTTGAAAACAGCTTTCAACATTCAAACATCTCGCTTCTGAAAAAAAAAACTAAAATTCATAACAAACGTTTAGATACGTGGTGACTTTCTTAAACATTGATTACGTTACATCGTTATATATTTTTCATATTCAAATAAAATTTGTTGATTGATACCTATTCGTTAGCATACATGAACACATCTGTTTCAGATTTTATTTTCCGTGAACAACGTATTCGTATGTTTGTCAAATTTTGTTATAATCTTGGCTTCTTAGTGCTAGCACAGTTGCTGTTTCCGATTGCTCAGAAATTGTTTCAAGATGTTTCAGAAGTATTTGATCCTTTTTTTTAAAGATTGATAACCAAGCAGAAAATCCAGTTAGTGGTGCATGAATAATTGGTTTATACGTGTTGAAATGCCAAATACGAGGAATTTCAGTGAGGTCTCTTGCTGTAAAAGAAAAAGTATTGTAACATTGTCGAAGATCCGTTAGACGACCACGAAAAATTAGATTGAGTGCCATTTCATCACTTGTATACATAGCTAATGGATGTGCATTTATTAGAGCTTCAACATGTTGTTTAATACGAAACTGACGCCATTTATAGGAATCCATTAGCATGACACCTAACAATAATAAAATGAATATTATAGGAATTTTTCAAATGAAATTTTTCTTCCCAAAAACAAAGCAAAGAGGATAAAAATTTAATGAATAAATAACTTAGAAAATAACATTATGTAATTTGACTTTGTCTTATAAGTTAAACACTAATACAATTATGACCAATGCAATTCTTGAACTGAGTCTGACTTTAATATTATATTTTGAATAAAGTTATTTCATATAAAACCTAACTGTATTAGGTCAATACAAATAGGAAGAATATTTTTACTGTAATTCAAAACACTATTAAAACTAGTAAATTTTGAAATACACGAATAAACTTGTAAGATCTTAATTACCAGCATTGAAATACTTGTGATCTTCTGAACCAACTGAATAACGAATGCCATCTAATTCATAATACATTGTATTGAGCTTTGTTTTAAATTCTCGTGTTATCAAGTCTTTTATCATTAAATGTGTACCTGGGACAACTGCCGCAATTGTTTCAAATGGAATAGTAAAAAGTTCATGAATATCATTCATAATATAAGTATCAACATCCAAATATAAAATTCTTCTTTCATACGGAAACACATATGGAATCTCAAGTCGAGCAAACGTTGTTCTCGATGAAACAGATCCACAAATAATATCTAGAGGTTTGAGAGATATAATCTCAATATGTTTACGAAGATCGTCCAATGGTTCAGAATGTTTACCATCAAGAAGAACAGTAATTTTATATGGCATAGATTCATATTTCAGTAAAGACATAAGTAAACCTTTACAAAGCATTTGATAATAGAGAGATTCATTAACAGCGCATACAACACGATGCATATACGTCTCTTATATGATGAAAGTTACAAAAATTAAGGTAAAAAATAAGTAGCTTTTGTATTAAATATTAAAATATTATATTTAAAAAAGGTAAATATGTTGCATGTGACTAAGTGTGCTTATCCGTAAAGCACATTGAACAACAGATGAAGACCAATCAAAAACTCTCAATCTTAGTAGGAACGATAGCGGGCGCTTCTGGTTTTGAAATTCTAAATGCAGACGCTATGAATAAAATTTGAGAATAAAATTTAGATGACAAGTATTTCAAGTTCTACATTAACTGTATAGACAAAATATTGCGACGAAAATGTAGAACTTCATTACAAAAATAAAATAATTGTTTATTTTGTACTTGTTATTGTACTTTTCTTGTCTTAAAATGAGTAAAAGATATTACACCAATAGTTCCCGGGTTACCTCAATATTTTCAATTGAGAAATGCACAAATCCATGAAAAAAGATTATTGTTACAAAACCAAACTTGTCACCAGATGTGATACAATTATTATTCGATGTATCCATACAGATATTGGTTCTGTAACTCAGTGATAACAAAAACAAAAAGAAGTAAATAAATCTTCATGTGTTTTTTCGTTTTAAAAGCAAGTGATATAAGTTGACTAGTGTATCTTTATATTCAATAAACATTATTCTTTTCCGATTACACTTCATAGCAATATTTCTAGACCATTTATATAAGAAAGTGAAATAGTTCATTCTATGTGATCCAATATCTGATATTCCACCTCATTTTGCGTTTCATATTGTATTTTAATCAGGATTTACTTCAAAATGCAACAATTCTTCTACCTTTGACTAAACTTGAAAATCATTTCGATGATATTTTTCAATTTTAACTCTATCCTTCATGCTTGATTGGTGTTCCTGGAATGGAAGATATACTAAACGTATACACCAATCGAAAATTTTGCGGTCAATATGATCGTTTTTTGTACAATTTGGCCTGTTTATTTGGAAATATTTATTTGAATGAGGTCGATTTTTTGAATGTTAATAGATACTTATTATCTCATTCAAAATATAGTTTCTACATATACACAACACGCTTCAATTACAGTTCTCTTCATTCATTGTGGGAAGTTCGTTCCTAATTTGCCTATAACTATTGACTGTATAAATAAGCTATCAGCTAGATGGCTTACTGATTTTCCGACGCATCATCATGGTAATATTAATGAACAGTGTCATCAATTTGTACTTGTCATCTTTTGCTTATTTGTTTTTGGCTACTATTTGGAAACATTATATGACGAAATTAATACTGATTGAAATCAATCAAGGACGACAATGGATAACATTTCAACTACAGAACTGTATGGCCGTCATTCATTTAAAAGTCTGTTCAAGGTATCAACAAGAGCCTACTATCATCAAACGATATTTATATCAAATGATAGAGCAAAAAGTTGCACACAGCTAAAAAAAAAAGATAGCACAACCAAAACAAACATTTCTGATTGCATTAATGGGTAATTTCCTAGAAAAAGATGAAACCATAAAAACAAAAACAAGAAAGATGAAGAAAAGAGAGATACACTTTAATAATTAATAATGAAATTATGAAGAAGAGTATATTGCATTCTTGTTTTGAGATCTGTCTCGAGCTGACTTATAATATAAAATACTACTTTTGATGGTTGCTGATTTTGAAATATCGTCTGCAGCATTACTTTTCTTTATTAATTTCGCCAGAAGATATCCACATGTACAATAAAGAGACCAAAATTGAATTAATAAACATTGGAAATAATCAAGCTTTACCAATGGTACGACTTGATCGTCTCTTCTATTTTATCCCGCACAAAATGAAATGAATCAAATTTCATTTTATTTACTTCAACATGACTCTCAGTATTGGCCTATTGATCCAGAATTCATGTATTCGGTCAGATTCACCGCAGAAAACAAAATTCATCATTCATATGCATCAATTCCATTTGGTGATGGTAATAATCAGTGTATTGAATAAGAACTAGTTCGATGGGAATTGAAAATAGTCATTATCAGAATTAATGTAATCGATCACGGTTGGTGATAATAGTCCTGAGTTGAACACTGCTGAACATTTGACAAGAGTAACCAATCAATCTCATTATGTTGATGTCACTATACAATTCCGTCAATCAGCAAAATGTTGTTCTCAGAGCAATCAAAAATGAGTTATGAACAAAGCTAATCTTATTAAGAATTTTCTTATCTTCATCAACACAACTGATCATTTTATTTATATTAGATTCGTATGTATAGCGTAGATTATTCTTTTAAATATGTATTCTTTCAATTGTTAGATGAAAACCTATATTAGAATTTTTCGACCTAAGTAATCAATTTCACAATAATAACTACTATACAAAAGATTGAATTATATATCATAAAATCCTGTTGCTAGAGATAACGAGAAAGTTGTTCGTTAATCAATTAGATGTTATATACTTTGGGCATCATCGTCAAATCGCCCTTTAGTCATTAATCAAAATGCATAAATTTGGAATCGATTTAAGATAATTGCTTCGTAGCACTATCTTCTCTGGTATTGTAAGGTAGACAAAGAAGTATGAACTAAATGATCGAATAAAAAGAAATGCATATAAATACCAATAAACTCTAATCAGGATGTGGATGTGGATGAAGTGAATGCCGGCACCCATGCTCACATCCAAATCTTTCAGTGCTTATGGTAATACAACATTGTGTTCTTTTTATGTTACGCTTAATATATAACATATAGTGAGACAATATCGAGTGTCCAGAAAAAAAGTCAAAGCATTAGGCTTTATCCTTTGAGATGCAATAAAGATTTTCTAGCTTCACTGATCAAATGATTTGGCACTTTATCATCATGAACATAAATAATATTTATGAGCACCAAGTTTCATTCCCAAAAGATTCTCAATATTCTAAAAAACAGATCACGTATGTAAACAAGAATCTCATCCTCGAAAATTGATGTAGATCAAAACTAAGTCGATGTTTACTCTCGATCTTTTAATGATATTATTTTTGTAGTAGAAATATCAACATGAATTAAAATTATGGTATTGATTTGTTTTCATAGGTAACTTCTCTTAATTTGATGATTTTGTCATCACAATAATAATTTTAGATAAGGGATGCGTGTACTAGAAGGTAATTGGAATGTTAAAAAACCTACTTTACTCGCGGTCAGTATTTCTATTTGAAATTAAGATGGAGACTAGTAACTTTCTTAACTATGCTATGACAAGGAGACTAAGCATCAAAAATTTCGAGAAATTATCTATTAAAATAAATAATAACATTGGTTTTTATTAATACGCTATTGTACAAAAGGCTGTCAAATGTTGATAATTCTAAATATATTATACAACGATTTAATATTTTTCTTCTCTTAACTCTTGATCATTAACAATATATTAAACTAGTCGATAAATCTTATGAGTGGGATATCCTAACATGTACAATCTTATTTTAATATTAGAGTTTTATAATGTTCATTCTCCAATACAATGCTCTAGCGTTTATATGATATTGTCGTTGTGTGAAATTTTCACATATAATACTTTAATAACAGAATCTAAATTTATTAAGTTAAAGAAATTATTCAATTCATGAGATACTATCTTTACAACAACAACAAAAAAAAAATCTTCAATATGATAAGATAAATCATTATTCAGATCTTCCATAGAAAGATAGTCAATCGAGTTTAATTGAGAAACAGAAATTTATGAAGAATATATGAAAGTTTGCGATAAATATTAAATTATATACAAAAATCTTTGATTGCTTGAAATTTTCAAGAAAGACGTTGCCGTTTACATGTATTATGTTCCTGTTGATATGATGCTTGTTGAAATTCCATCGACTCAGAATCTGAAGATATTTGATCCTAAAAAAAAAGTTTTGCTAGAAAATTTGAAAGAAAAAACCAACTACAAATAGCAATATTTACACATTGTTGATTGTCGATTAATAATCGTGGTTCTTTTTGTCGATGTTCTTTTTTTGCAACCTATTTTCAAAAATAAATATAAACAAAAGGAAAAGCATAAGTGTTTTATCCAGAGGGGTGCCCGCGGGGGGAGGGCGGCGCCCCCCACTCGAGATTCACGACGCACTATATGGCTTGCCCTCCCGGAATTTCAAATCGCCCCTCCGGAGAAAAAAACCAGGATAAAACACTGAAGAGTATATATTCGTAATAAAATCATATTGACCTGTTCGTTTGTAAGTGGTAACCAAGAAATACTTGGCTGTGTATGTGTTTGTCGAACATTTGAATTAGTCATCAAATTTGAAGATTCATCATTGTCTATAGTCGTTAGTACTATATGATTAAAACAAAATGATGAATTAATAAATTCATGATAGAAATTGTTTTGTCACTTACGTATATTTTTACATTTAATATTTTGATTTTTTAGTAATAAAGAATCATTTGGTGATGGTGATCGACATCGAGCATGTAAAGATGAAGATCTCTGTTGACGTTTTAATTTTGGTACAAACCATTCTACTCCAATATTTAGTTTATTATCTTTGTTTCCATCAAATAATGTTAATGATTGACAACGACGACGAATTGTAGAAGATTTCTAATCAAAAGCAAAATAGAAAGAAAAACATTATTTTCATAGAACAATAAGAAAACAAACTTCTCGTTCAATTTTATTTATAATAATTCGATTATTATCGATATTTATCAATTGTTTTTGTTTTATTTTACGAACATATGTCATCGAAATATCATCATTATTATCAGATACTGTTTCTAAATCTTCTTGAACAATCGATTGTTCTTTTGTATTTGAACATGTTGTCTAAATTAATACACTAAATATAGAAAAAAAACAAAAATATATTCAATATATGTTACTAGATTCTGATCAATTGATTGATCATCATTTTTCGGAAGAATTTGAATATAACGACGAATACGATTTAATATATCCAAAAGACGATCTTTATTTTTTTTCTGATCATCAGATGAAGAACTA